TCATATTGAGAAATTTTTAAATTGGTCATATTACAATTAAAGGCCTCCAAAAAACTTGGTACATAGCTGTGTTAAATTAAACATTTCAACAATTTTAACATCAAATTATTCATTAATTTATTTATTACTTGAATATATATCTAAATAATGTACTGGCATCTATCAAATTATAATTCGTAATATTGACGAGACAATTATTCTGAAAATTAAATATTTATAAAATAAATTGTAAAAAAAAAATCTTATAATAATAACTTGGGTATATCTTATGAAAAACCATTGCATCGGTGTAAATTTTGTAACTGTATGTTTTGGAGATACTTTATTAACGGGATATTTATTTTGGATCATCTATATTTTAAAATTCGTCTATGGCTATAAAATATATAAATTTGTAACTTGGCTTGCTATCCGAAGTGCCACTCTTTCTTTATTATATGGAATCTAATAAGAAATGTTTAATTTTATTTTATTAAAAATTTTTGAAAGATTCTATCCTTAAATATCGATTACTGTAAAAAAAATATTTCATTTTTCAAATGTAACACAAAAAAAAATGTTAACAATGTATATTTCCTTTTTAAATTATGAATAAATTGGAATTAAATAAAAGGTAATTATACTTACACCAAATTTTATAAAATAAATTTTTTTTTAATTATTCTTTAAATGTCATTTTTTTCAGGAAGGTTCGTAAGAGATATGTTAGTTTATTTCAAAAAACAAGGAATAAATAAATCAAATATTATCGTTAACCGGGTTCGATTTGAGCCGGTTTTTTAAAACTAACTCAATATTTTATCCGGCAAAAATATTAAGTAAGCCTAAAAAAATTTCTCGTAGGGCATAGAGGTTTTGACATTTATCATCGAAATCTCCATCGTTTAGAGAAAATCTCAAAAAAAATCTTTATTTTATAAGTGTCTTTTATAAACTCTGGTAAATATTAAAAAATCGTCTTCTCAAAAAAATCTTTATTTTATAAGTGTCTTTTGTAAACTCTGGTAAATATTAAAAAATCGTCATTTTACATATATTTTTGTAAAAATCTTTTCAATATTTAAACAATGATTTAAGTTTAAATATTGATTTTACTTATTGATTTTACTTTTGGGAATACATTAATTATATGATTAATTCGAATCTAGAAAATGAAAAGAATTAATGTAATTATGTAAGCGTTTTTAGATTTTTTTTATTAAGAAAATATAAAGATGTTATTATATGTGAATAGTTATATTAATTTTTATAAGAAAATTATTATTTTTTTTTGAAATTTAGATGATTAAAATCTTTCTTGTACCTTTATTTTACAATTTGTATTATTTTAACTTTTAATTTTTAACTTTTTTAATTTTTAGTATTTTTTATAATTTATTTTAAAAAATTTATTACCTTTATTTTTAATTTTTATATTTTATGATTTTATAATTATGTTGGATCATACATACAAAAAAGTTATAGTAAAAATATTTATCCATATTTTTTATTATTATTTTAAGCAATCATTTTATAGGCTACAGGGTCTTTCAAGCCCTTAATTCTTGCCAACAGTTCATACATTATCTTCCATTTCAATCTATTATCCAATCATCACTCCAATCATGTTTTTCACCTTTATTTATTGATAATCAAAATATACATTGCTTACCATTTTTTTTTGTATTGCAATGAATAATTAAATATATGAGTACACTTAATGTCGATTTTTTTCCATAACATAATATGATAAGAATGTTAACAATCAATTTAACGAAATTCCTGTCAGATTATTTTGCAAGCAACATCTTTCAGATCCATAAGAAAATTTCAAAAAAAAATCATATAATTTCTGTTTTAATTTGAAACATTTACTGTATGATATTATAAACAATTTTTTTGAAAACTAGATACAGGCAAAATCTTGATGTGAAATAGAAGTTATTATATATATATAAGATGCTAGGGTATAGTTATATTTTTTTGTCAGAACCTTAATCAATAACTACAAACTGACACCTAGTGGAATGAGAAGTATTCCTGAGTATATGATTAATTAGAAGGTTTACTCTAAGTTCTTATGTCAGATTCCTTATATATGAGATGGCTATGATATTATCTCAATATTTATTAATAAATAAATAAATTAACTTATAGCAAATTGTCAAAATAAGTTCTAATTGTAATATATAATATTAAAAATAAATTGAAAAAATTTCAATATACCTTAGTTTTAATAGTCATAACTTAATTAATAATAAATTTTAATAATAATATTTATAATAACTTCTTAGCGCATAAAATTAATTGGATTCTCTCAACAAATTTGGAGAATTTTTACAAACGTGATTATATTGTATATGTCCAAGATTTATTTAGTAAAACAATATTTCATTAAATTAATTTTTCAATCATAATATTTTGATTTTATTTAAATGGTGAAAATTAGTACACTTTTTAATTATCAAATTAGTTTAATATCTTATATACTTGACAAATAAAAGGTAATAATTCATCGAAAAAATTCTCAACTAGTGGATGAATCAAAGATTAGTTAAATATTTGTATCGAAAATTATTCGACATTATAGAAGGATGTTATATCTATGCTATTCATATTATTTTTGTTTGTCTAGTATTCATCAAATGATATTCCAACAAATTTATGTTATATATTTGTGTTTATATAGGGACCATAAGTGGAAATTAAAACGAACCTTTATAAATTCTTAAAAATTTTTTCCTCACATGGGGTTTATGTAAACTCCTAATTATAGTATTATATTATCCATTATATTTCAAAATCAACATATTTATGTTTATTAATTTGAAATCTATTTAGCATTTTCATTACTGTTGTAAAACGCAAATTTTTGGAATCAAACGATAATATCAATTTTTTTTTTGGAGCTAATATTATAACCAGACGATTTTTAATTTTAAAAGGAATTTTTGTAAAATTTGAATAATTATTTAGTTATGAAAAGTTTATGTAAATAAATTTTTTTAGAATTATAATTATTGTTTTACTTTTAAAATTTATTTTTTAGTTTCTTAAATTTTCTCTTTTTTCTTTTAATTTTTATTTTTAACTTTAATTTTATTATGTTACTGTATAATATTATTGTATAATTAATAGTTGTGAATAAAGGAAATCATAAACTATGTTTATTGTGTCAAATTTCACATTAATTATTTATTTTATATAGATAGCCAAACGTCACAATTCAATAAATACAATAAAGTTTGATTCAATAAATTTATATTATTTCACAGGTAGTGTTAAATAATTTATTCTTCATAAATCAAATTTTTAAAACGCCAAATAAATTATTAATATTTTTTTGTTTTTATTTAAATAAGGTTGTTTAGCATTTAGACGAAATGTGAAAGACAGCTAAATATAATACATTTAAATGGCGTTTTACTATAGTCAATGATATTGACCACAGATGACTTCATTATATGTACACTTTTTATGAAAATCATTTCTAGGTTAATATTAGTTAAATTGTAAACTATATATACCTCTCGACATTAGCTCTTTAATCGCCAATAATCCCAAACCAGCTATATTGAAGTAACTTTAAAAAAGAAATTATGAAAAAGATTTTGTTTTGCACCTAAAAATGATATAATAAAATGTAATACTAACTCGGGTGACTTCGATGAATAGAGGGGAGATCTGATAGCGCCTAATGATATTCCTAAGAAAAAAATGTAATACACACCATTTATAATTAAATTTAAGGATATATACTCAAATTATCATCGCAAATTTCCACGTATGGCTCTAGCGGACTCTTGTACCAATCTAATAAAAATAAATCATGAAAGTTATATTTGTCAGAAAATTGTAATATAGTGTATAAAATAAAGAAAGTTCTTAGAACTATAACCGAAACTAACTCTGACATCGACTAATGTATATATTTCTATTCTTCAAAATTCTCAGGATTCAATTCAGAGAGTTTATTTCGTGCTAAGAGTTCTCTTTTTAAAAAATTACTCGAACCTGGAACACTCTCAGCCGGGTCAAGTTTGATAACCGAAACCAAATCCGGCAGAGGATCAAAGCCAAATTCTTTTTTTTAAAAAATCAGTAACCTTTAGAATTATCCGAGTTTTGAATTTTGAAAATAAGGCAAATTTTACTGAAACAAACATTATAATAATAATATATTATGTACTTTCTTTGAAAAGGTGATTTCCGAGCAATCTATAATTTTGTATAACCATTGTCTTTCGGATATGTAGGATATTTCGAAAATGATTTTGAGACATGTTGTACTTTTTGAATATATCGATAGATAAATAGTAAAATACACGTTTATGATTAATCAAAATTATTCTATTTAAGATTCATACAAAATATATCCTTTGACAAGATTTCCCATTATATTTTCTTAAAAGCAGTGTCGATAATTAATATCATCCTTTTTTAAATAAACATTAAAAGAGTCATCTAAATTGTCACGAATTTGAAAAGGTATTTAATACATTAATATTATATTCAATAAAAATTACTAGCACTAGTCATGAAAATTTAGTTATTTTTCGTAAATAATTCGTCCTATACATGTATTTTTTTGTTTAAATAAAGAATAATTTTTTTATTTGAGGGCTTATAATATGCTATTGCCAAGGTGTTAATGAAGAAGATGAATATAATTATTAAATATCATAGTATTTTACATTTTTAGATAAAATTTAAAAAAAAATATGATTTAGTAAGTGTTTTTTTAAACAAAATTGTTCAAAAATATTAGAAGAGGCATATTTTATTAAGTGTTACTTGAGGAAATATTAAAGTAAAATTTGTTTTTTTTAACAATAGCGGAAAATATTATTTTAATTTTTTTTTAATATCCCTTTTTTCGGAAACATATTCCGAATTATTTTATTATAAATAAGCTAAATTAAGCTTTTAATTAGGTTAACCGTCATTTTTTATTACAAGTGTTATCGATTTTTTTTACTGATAGGTCTTCTTCAAAATATTTATTTTTTAAATTAATTTCATCACATTACATCTTTATAATATTCGTACAATCTCGACATATGGTTGATATAGTCCGGATATCCAAGTTCGATATCTATATGCTATAAAAAAAATAGACAAAGTTTTAATAAGAATACGTTATATAAAAATGATTCCGTTATTTAGTGTTAAAGAGTCCTTAAGATTAAATAACAAAAATCTTTTTTCACAAAAATAGCAAATAGTAAAGCAATCAGTTAACACATTATTATTTTTATCAAAGTCATAGGCTATAATGAGAACATTATTTTTCTAAACTCAAATTTAAAAAAAGTATAGATAAAATATTATACCTTAGTAGTTAACCAAATTCAGTTATTTATTACAAATTATTTGAATTTTACCAAAAATAATCTGCATAAATACTACCTAACACATATTCTAAGCTGCTTATTCCATGAATCCCATTGTAAGAAAGACGTATACCTAATATCATTACAGCTCATGAGAAAAGATTGGTTTCGCCCGGCGCCTCTCAAGCAAAAATGTTAGAAGGCCTGGTCGTAGCCTTCTAAACTAATCTTTCACTCAAGGTAAATTAACTTTTGTGTAAATAAAATAATCGACTAATTATTGTGCTTACTCCAAAAAAAATAAAGCTGAAAACGGAATCAATGAAAGTAAAAATCCTCTTTCGAACAAGGCATCATTGACACACTCATTTTTCCAAAGTTTTAAATCAACCCCCCCCCCCTCCCCCAAACCGTTAGATTTGGTATATAAAATTAAGAAAAAAATTACATTATTTTTTAATTTTTACTTTGTAGTAAATTTTGTGTATTTTGATTTCGGAAGATATTTTACGTATCTGTACATCATATAATAATAAATTAAAACATTTAAAATTATTTATAAGGGATATCGAATCAATCCCCTTACGATTTGATTAGTGGCAATCATGAGATCTGACTGATTCGAGAGTTTAGAACAGGGATCTATGAACCAATAGAAATTACTAAATACTTTTTTAGGAATGAAAACTTGGACCCTCCTACCCCCCTTTCAAATATTTTGTGCAAGTTATTTATAAAATAGTCTGTTTGGAGTATAAATTCTAGAATTTTGATCACGTTGTTTATTTTATGGTAATTGGAGTTGGACAGCGTCACATAATTTATTATTTAAATCTTGGCAGCCATTTTGGAGTGAAACTGAAATCCTAAGATTTGGTAAATTAATTTCATCTCAAAATACTGAAAGTCAGCAATCAAGGTTTAGACAAGGTAGGAACGGTTGACCTTTATCTTCTATTTACTAAAATATTACTTGATATAACTTTGTTCTACGAAGAAAGATGCCTCTGCAAGAGCTTTAATATAATATTATTATTATTTTATAAGTTAATTTATTTAGGCAATAAAAAAATATATTAACCTGTCTAAGTTGAATATCGTCAAGATGTTTTTGAACCATAGATTTAGCTTCCTTGAGCAGAATATTCAACTTGAAAAATGCAATACAAAAGTGTTATTCAATATTGATTTTAAAACTAGGGACAGGCCTAGTTTTGAAATGTAAAATTTTGTTTAAAACCAGGCCGGTATCCGAAAATTTTACTTCAACCCAAAACTTTCATCTTAAAAACATAATCAAAACTATTGATATTTTCTATCAAACGAGGAAATAAATACAAACATTTATATCGTGATTTTGAATTGTAAAATTATAATTCTGACTTTTTTATGAATTGTCGTAAATAACGAGTTTGACAAACAACAAAAAATTGTTAAAATATATTAATATTTATCATAATCTACCTGAGAATCGGATTGTTTAAATCCAGTTTTGTGAATATAAGTGGCAGTTACGATGTCGTCAAACATGGCCATTGTTTCGTCTTGGCAAATATCGGCTCCGGAGACATCAAACCCTAGGAATCTAATATACTTTTCTCTGACATTATTTGCCGATCCTGTATAATGCAACAATCTGCTCGCCGCAAATACTTTCATGTAGTTATAAAACATTCTAGTAAATAAAAAACAATATTATGTAAATTAAAAGCGATATTTACTCGTTATTTGAAGGTAGAGTTCGTTTGAACCAATTGTTAAGCATCACGATATAATTTTCACAGTATTTCACCCTAACATTTTTGAGTGAAACCTTGGATCTCCCTCTCAGTAGACTTTCAAGATTTATCTTTAAATATGTTTTTTTAAGAATTATTATATTGTAAAAGCCCTCTTTCAACCCGGATAACTAGTGTTGTTAAACGGCTAGCTCAACATTATAGCCAGGAAAATATTGGCGAAGAGTCGAGATTTTACCAATAGTTGTTTAATCATATGTGTCATCTATGAGCAAAATCTTTAGGCTTGCATAATATTTTTCTAGATAAAATATTGAGTTAGCCGGTTTTTAAATTAACAACACTACAGAACACCTAGTGAGCGCATAATGTTATTTTAAATTTTGTATATTTGTTTGTTGTTAAACTATGTGAAAACTTTAAAAAAAAGCTCTACCAAATTTTAAAAAATATGATATCTATTTAATATTACGAATCTCATGGTTTCGTATGCAGTCAGAATATCAACTTCATTTTCTTCACATAGATGGTATTGATCTAAGGTCTATATATAGATAATAAAATATATTTTATATTTAGTTTTTAAAAAAAAATTACGATGCTGTTACATGTATAAGAGTTTCTTCGAAGTTTATTATATCCTGCGCCAAGCTCCTACTCATGTTTAGTTTTTCTAACAATTCTCCAACGTAGGTTAGTAAACCAAAATAGTAATACCTGTGCTTATAAATATCAAGGATTGCTGTGATTTCCGGTTTATAAATGTAAATTAAGGATCTGTTGTCCTTGTCAGACTTTATTACACTCATTCTAAAGAAGAATTCAAACCCAAGATTCCATTGCAATCTTCCGAATAAATCTAATAGATTATTTTTGAAAATCGTCTCGTTTGTGTGCAAGATGACGCTATCGTTAAAATACTCATTCATCAGACCCGAAAATATTTGATAATTATTTTGGTTGCTCATGCAGGATTGGTAATAGGATCGAACTTGTCTCAGCAGATATTCGTGTTGTGGTTGTAAATCATTCAACATTTTTCCACCTTATTTTTTTTTTTAAATTATATATAATTAATCATTTAATATATGGTTTTGGTAAAAAAAGGCCAATATTAATGAATATATTTTTAAATAAAGAGTCCCACATTGTGGCCAGACCTTATGTGAACTAATTGCTATTGTATATAATAATATATTATAAAGTGCGAAAGACCTGAGGTTGGTTCAGGGTTTTCTTTAAAAGTAAAGATCCTTTATCTCCCCTACTAGATTTCACTAAAAAAACGGCTGAGTTAGTTATTTTTTAAAATTGCCTAAAATAGTTTCAGTGGAAAGGCTGCTAGACCCTGGTTACATTAATAATAATTGATGAATGATCCTTTACTTTTTACCTAGAATATCTCGTATTTCCTGCTTCAACTCTAATTCCATTTGTTGTTTAGTGGGGCCCCATGGATTTTTAATTCCACTGGTGTAATCGATAGCCTTATCTCTCAGAAAAGATCCATAATTTCCGCAGGCGAAACCGTAAAAATTTGTACAAACATCGGCGCTCGTATTCATAATCATTAAACTCTGATCAAGAATTTCCGAAAAGTCGGTTTTGTTGGCCATTTTAATATCATCTAAATATAAAATATAATATATTTCAAAATTATAACTTTCTCCAAATAATTACGAAAAAAAAATACGCCCTCTAACCAAAGCTATATTAAAGCGGTAATGCGTCAAGGCGCAAATTTGTGCATGGATATATATCGCTTATTTTATTTTAAATCAAGATTTTTACCAAAAAAATTCAAAAAATTTTGTTAATAGATATATAAACTTTTTCCACCACCTATGACCCACAATTTTTTTAGGCTTAGCTATATTATATTTGAAGTGAACTCTTATACCAATCTTGTGCAATGTTTTATGCAAATTCATTAAGATCATCAAATAGGCCAAGTAAAATAATCAAAATATTTAATAAAAGGACTTAGAGGTGTGCAATTGGCTGATTTTTAGCCAATAAACCCGCCCACTTGTTGATTAAAAATATTTTAAACCCACCCGCCAACCGCCCAGTTTAGTAAACCCGACCCCACCCGTTCGAAGTATGGGCAATCCGCTTATTTTGGTCCTTTTACTCGGTCGGTCTCTTTGAAGAGTTTAATGAATTTGCATAAAACATTATTTGAGATTAATTTTATTATAATTTTTAAACCTGATGTCGGAATTAGTTTGACCGCGGAATCTGGATGTTCATCCATCGGAATATCTTTTAGACCGCTTAATGCGTAAAGGAGAATTTGGAAGAACGATATCATTTAAATTAAATTTTTTTATTTTTAAAAAAAATTTCACAAATTATGCTTTTATGATTTTTATATTTTTTTTTTGAAATGAATAGCCTTTGTATATTGTAAGTTCACTAACCTGGATAGAAATTGTATTTTGACCCAAAAACATTTTATTATCATTTTATATTTTAAATAAAAAAGAGTATTTTTTAAAAAAATAATAATTAAAATTACCTTATAATGATATCAAAATTATGATATTATTTTGCAATACTCAACATATTTTTAGAGCACATAGCAAGACTTTCACTTGTTTACTATAATGGCTTAAATTCGTAAGGGGGGTCAATGAATGTTTTAGATTATTTATCAGACATTTTGTTCACATTTTATAATGTGATGTTAAAAATAAAAATATAATTTTATTTTAACAAAAATGAAAAGGTCAAAAAATATACTCTTACAATAATATGTTTATATCTTCATGGAAAGTACGTTTACGATAATTAATTAATTACCCTCGTATCCTTAAACAAAATACATTTAAAGTTAAATTACAGTTCCCTCACTACACAGGGTTGCCAGATATCATTTATAAATTTAAAAAAAAATACATTATAATATAGATACAAACCACACCAACTTGGGTGTACGGCATCTGTTATACAAAATATTTAGATAAGTTGGTAGACGGGTTGGCAAATTTTTTGACAAAACGATTGGGAAGTGTTAAAAGTAAAAATATAGTATATAAAGACCTCTAGAAGGAAAAATGGAATGATGCAAATCTCGATATAAACTTTAATGATAAATAAAAACAATTGGCCATTTTTTTGAAGATTCAAAAATAGCAAAACAGCGGGTGGTAAAATTGATTCCAAATATTTATACACTTATAGCAATTCGCATTTAAAAATTTAACGTGTGCTTAGTATTCAAGCCTAAATGATTTTCATATATAAAGTATGTATACTATATATATTATTAAATATAGGAATTCTCAACCCTTAAGAGCTCGGTTTGAATCTATTGTGATTGGTTAAAAAAATTGATTTTTTATATAAATTCTAGACGATATATTTGTTTTCAAAAATAACGTTTTTTTAATTTAATATAAATTTTGGATAAATATTTATTTTAGAGCAAAGTTTAAACACTCTTCTATAATTTGTAAAGTTTTATGAATATTTATTATACCTAGATATTATTTCAATCATAATTTGTCAATTTAGAGCAAGTGGGGCTTTCTAAACCATACACGTAATTATGGCAGTAAAAAAAATTCAAAATCTTGAAAAAGCAATTTCGTGGCTATTTTATGATTGGAATTTAGGGTATATTAAGAAATCATAATTTTTAGATCCTTATTTTTTTGATTTCTAAAATGATTGTTAAATTAACCAAGATTTTTTTATATATAATTAGTTTTAATTTATAAGTATTATGATATTTTGAACATTATTAATAACTAAAAATGCATTTCAATTTATAATGGCCTAAGAAAACAATGATTTAGGAAGCCCCTTGAAGTGGTTTGCCTCACCCCGCTATTGGGGCTTGTTGGACAAAATTTTCACTTTTACAAAAAATAAAATTTTAAAAAAATGATTATATTCTTAAATTTTTTTAATAAGGCACCTTTATAGAGTATAGTTTTAGGTATCCAATCATATATTATTTTTTATATTATCAAAAAAAAAACAAACCTAGGAGCTATAAGCATTTTTGTAAAAATTGATTCTACTATCCCCAGTTTCCCACACATTATTACAATAAAATTAATGAAATATGATTGAAAAATTAGTTTAAAGAAATTGATTGTTTTACTACTATTTAGGATTAAGTAAAAGATGTGATTTTTCTAAATTACCAATGACCCTGAGATGGAAAGTTCTTAGGGGTAAGATTGCAAATATTTAAATTTTCATATTTGTTGTTTATAATTAATACATTTTATTTACAAATTATATAAATTTAAAAAAAAAGAATAATCTTCACAATATTGGCACTCATAAAATGAATGACTCCAATCACAACTTCAATGTTCCCATTCGGGATATTTGATTACTATGGTTATCTTTTGCCGCACAAATGATTTTTATTTTTATCGTTTTTTTTAGAATTTAATAATTTTTTTACAATGCAATTTGGTGCTCTTTAATTTCCAATCTTATTCCCTGACATTTGTCCCCTGGGTAATGATTTAGCCTAAATAGCTATATAACCTATTCAAGATGAGTTAAAACTTCGGATAAAAATTAATCCATACATTAGGTAGTATGGCATATAAATTTAATAAAAATTTACAGTTAAATGGAATCAATTTCACTAAATTTGCGATTTTAATAAGGAACTTTTAGCAGTACCTGTTTGAGAGCGTATGATAATTTTTTTTAGTTAGATATAAAATGATGATAGAATTAAGCTTTATTTAGTGTGATTTTCATGCGAAATTCATGTTGAGATAATGTTGTTAATATATTATATAATTATAAGATATTGTAATATATAATATATTTTCTCGAATAGTTTGGTTTATTTAATAATGTTGAGTGAGAAACTCTCGCATAATTTATTTGAACACTATAATTGTACCGCAATATTTCTAAAATAAAATGGTTATCCTGCTCAACAGTTATAAATTTTTATTAATATTACTAAACTAAGTAAATAGTCAATGCCAAATTAGTATATCTTTGCAATTAAGGATTCACAAGATGATACAGAAGAAAACAGTAGTACCTCTTGATCCAAACACTAGTATTAATCATCCAATAATGAATTAGACGTATTTTGTACAATATTCTTCTTGCTTTTCGCGCACTCATTCTTCTTCATCGATAGGCAATATATCATCTAATTTTTCTGATATAGGGATTAATATTTTGTATGCCGTTTATTTTGCCTTTAATCTATGTATAATGATTGTCCATACCTAGAATCATTTCATAAATTATTATTGGAAAACGTAAACCATTCCAATCTCCATAAGCAGGAATGGTTCGGATTTAGGTGGAATAACTACAAATCAAATTATTGTCAACCTTTAATACAGACGCTCATAAATTTCAGTTTTTCGCTATCGGTATTAATGGCTGGTATAGCTAATCCTTGGTTGAGCAATTCGCACTAAAATATCTTAAATGCACCATAATAATCATTATATATATTCCTTAATTATATTTGCCCTCAGTAAACTATTGGTACAAAATATTGAAAGGAAAACTTTGTCACGATCAGGACTTTAAAAATAACATCATTGAGATGATAAAAATAACATTATTTACAAAAAAGAATTACTCTGAAATAGGCAATCTAAGTTGGTATATTAAAGACTTATTAGAAGACTTCTTATCCGTTGAGTACCTTTTTTTAGCAGTTTATGATGTATTTGATACAAAGTTCTCTACAATGTGGATCATATATCAAATTATTAGAGAACCGATTTCAAAATTTATTCCTTTGTCTGCTATATGTTATGCGTATATACACGTGAATTAAAAAGATAAAATCAAAATATATAATTAGCGACACATCAATGCAATTCTTAAATGAGTGCCAAAGACAGACCAGGAGACCAATTAATGGATCTAGAAACCCATTTCTTTTTCAGATTCTTTAAACCCAATAACATCAAATATATTATCATGATTAAAATATTCTATATTTAAAAGTTTTGTCACAATCAGGACTTGTAAGATATAGGTATTATGGTTAAAAAAAAGAAATATTTCCCCTAGGAAAATATTATTCAAAAATAGTCAACCAGAAAATTTTACAATTAGCAGCTAGGATATGAATAAAACTCTATAAAAAATTCACCGTCAAGTATCATATATGTGGCAGTTTATAATTTATGGGATAAGGTCATCTATAATGTGAATCATATATCAAATATTTAGAAAATATTTGCCAAATTATTTTCTGTGTATGCTTATATTTAAAATATTTGAGAAGATATTGTTCTTACCTAATACAGAGACTTCTACATCTCTTCCCACCAAGTAAGATATTATATTTTGCCCATTCAACCTCTCCCCCTATTCTAAACCTACCCCCCTAAACTTTAACCCAAATACTCCAACTTTTAGTAAGGACCACCTCAGATGTTATACAAATGGCGATGACGTCTTCGTAACTACCTATTCCTATTTCAATTTTAGATGACAATCTTGCTTTATAAGCCCCCACCCCCCCCCCCTCCTCCTCAAGATAGAAGTCCCACATAATAGTTTTGATTTTCGTTACTTAATTTCAAATACATTCCACTTTATTTTAATGTCTCTTGATACTCTTCATCGATATTGTAAAAAAAAATTCTAGATTATCTTTTTAAATGGTAGCTATCAAATAATAAATATAAAAATATAAGTAATATATTTTTTTTACAAAAAATAAGATGGATGAAGAAAGCAATAAAAGGAGTTTAAAGAATAAATCTCAGTCTGGGAAAAATATGCAATCATTTTTAGTATCCATTTTAATTCTATTATATTTTTAAAAAAAATGATATCCTAAAAAAAACTTATAATTATTTTTTTATCGTAAAATATCGTTTAAGATGATTTATTTCAATTACTTTTTGGGGAGAAAGTATGAGGGGATTATGAGCTAGAAAGTCAGCATCAAATATTGTTGATCTAACTGAAGTATATTTTAAATTATTGATGCTATATTTTAAGAATTAGAAACATTATTATATTACAAATTACAAGAAGAGTTTATATATCAACATAGCCTATTTTTATATTTAATAATATTTACCTTCAATTTCATAGCCAATATAGGAGGGTGGGATGCAAATCCACCCCCCCCCCTTGAATGCAGAATTTTTAATATAAAATTTATTTTAAAAAATATTTTTTTTATGAATTGTGAATAGTAAAGTATTCTTTTTCGAATAGGATGTATATTTTAAATTTTAGAGAAAAGTTAAATTAAATTTGGGTATAATATATCCTAGTTTAATAATATTTTTTATCTTAAAATTTAAAATAGCCAGGATTTCGCTAAGGGGAGAAACACTATTTAGTAAGTTTTTACCTAAAATTTATAAGAGGTCTCTAGGTTCATCTATTGAAGACCTGTGACTATATTTGATACTTATAAAATAATTTTACGTTTTTACCGTTTTTTAAATTTTTTCTTCCAGAATCTTCTTTATAATCATAGGCGTAGCCAGGATTTTCCTAAGGGGGGGGGTGGGATTAAAAATTACTGGGGGCCTCGCCCCCATACCCTATTTTAGGCGGGCTTTCGGCCCGCTTTTGCCGGCCATCGGTCGAGTTACCTTAGTCTATATATAGTCATAAAATATTTTTACATAGGAGGTTAATTTTAAATTAAAAAAATAAGCCTGGAACAAATATGAAATATATTTTTATTAGTTTATATAATATATAATAAATTACTTGTATTTACATTAATATATAAGCATGGTAATAATTTATTCTAAACAAGTATAAGAAATTTGTTTATAAAAAGTAAGTAGCCATATAGTTGATATTCCTCTATTATACAGAATTAGTTACAAAATACTAGGTAAAATTTCATTTTCACAGACATATTTATTAGTTAGAGATTATATTACAGTTAGTATTATAACAAATTTTACTAATCAATGCTCTTGATAATAAATATAGCAACAATTTTCATTCAATATTTAATGCCATCTATTTATTTTAAATAAAAAATGATATTAAAAATTAATCTTCATATTTATCCAACCATGTTTTAAAAGATATTTTCTGATATCCTTATCAATATTTTATAGTTTTCTTATAAAATATATAATTCGCTATATTTGTAAAAATTACTTATTGTCATATGATAATTCATAAAATTAGATATACTGTAAATCTACGACATATAATATTCCACTGTTTATATTGTGCTTTTTTATTTAATTTATGATTTAATTTTATCAATATTATAATTATATTTCACTTTTATTTAGATAAATAAATTAAAATTACTCACTTTATAAAAATTATATTTGATATATTATATTATTTAGTAATTTTATGGATCTATTATTAAAAATTATAATACATTTCACTTTTGTCTTAAGAATTATTTTGGCTTATATTTCTTAAAAAGCATTTTGGTTCACTTTTATATATATAAATACTTTTTCCCAGAAATGGATAAATTATGATGAATAGTTTTATAAAAAAATAATAACTTTCACATTCTTTCTTTCAAATTATTGTTTATAATATATGCATACATTTTTGTGGGTCAGGGAGTGAGAGGAGGACTAAGGGGGATATTTTTTATTAGCTTAAAATGATATACACAAAAAGTGATAAATTTCTGAAAGGGGGGGGGGCGGTTTCCCATTGTCCCCCCTCCCTGGCTTCGCCTATGTTTATAATGATATAAGGGTGATAGCCGGGGAGGTGTTATTGGCTTAAAATTATATTAACATTAACAGAAAATTTCAGATGAGGAGAGAAAATTTCCTCTTAACCTTCCGCCCCGGCTATGCCTATAGAAACTAAATTATCATAATAATAATTCATCATATTCATGTATATTTAGTGGATATAAAAATGCCAGCTGAAAATTTAAAATTGTGATTGCCATAATTTTTTTTTAAACTTGATTAAACCGGCAAAATATTTATTATATCATAATCAAATGGATTTACTACAGGTACAGATTATTTAAAATAATTCTTATATATTTTGTTAGGTGAAGATGATGGATCCTTCTGAAATTTATCGCCCTGAAAAGATAAATATTGAAAAATTTCGAAATTATGATGTAAATCAAATTTATAAGTATCTTTCATTTTAAGCTTCTGCAAATTTTTTAAAACTATATTAGTCAAATATTAAATTTTAAAATATTAAATCATAATATTTTGGGTAATTTCAACTATCAAATAAAAAAATATAGTTATCTATTAATTTGAGTTTTACATGAATATAAAACGTTGGACAAATGTTTAGACCATATTTTTTATATACTATAGTTGTATTCAATTATACAATTTTTTTATAAACTATAAATTTTTAAAAAAAATATACATAATCTTTACCCTTTATCACTACATGGTATCCTTCATACTGTAAACTATGGCCTTTGAAGTATTTTGAAATGTATCTTAGATATTAAATAGCACTTTTATGTGAAAATTATGGAAAACTTTTAGGTTATTATTCCCAATTTTTTACTCTTTTGTTGCAGATAATTTTCTATTATATTGGCTATTAATTAAAGCATACAAACTTAAAAGACCAAAAAAGAATCCATATAATTCTATCAGTCATCACCATTTTCCATGAATTGAGGGTATAAATATAAAGGGACAGAGTTTGTTAGAGTTTATAACAGATTAAATGGGCCCCATATTATTTTATTGCATATAAAATGTTATTTATTTCATAGAAAATTTTGCATCTCCCAAAAACACACTCTTAGATATGACACTGGCTCAATTTTTTTGAAAACATTTATATTTAAATTCCATGTATTATATTTTAATCAGGGGTTGGTGAGCTTAGAGGCATTGGGTGGGTTTTTTGCCCACCTGCTCATGCCTACCTATACTTTTAGTGGGCATGGTCAGGTTTTTTAAAATATTTTCAACATTGGCCAGGTAAATTTTTGATATTTTTCAGGCAATATATTTCATAATATCACATATTATATATATGTTTACTTAAAAATACATTTAAATAAATAAATAAAGAGCGAAACTAGCCATTAAAACAATTTATAAAGGGCGCCCCCATTGTAGACATCTAGTGCAGCTTGAGTGGCCAATAAAAGTTTTGAATAGTTTTTAATGCCAATAATATGGCACATTTATGTCGTTTTCCCTCTGTAAATAATTTATTACAATTAGGGGCAGATCATGCCAGGTAAAGATAATTAGTACTAAACTAAAAATTAAATGTTTCACAGGGTCGGTTCTGTTAGGAATTTTATGGCATGACTTGCTTCTTAAAGGTTTATTCATATCTCAAATAAATTTAAGCAATTGTTTTAATAAAGATGTTCAAATTGGCTAGGCTTGATTTAATTTTTAAATTTTTTTAAAAAAATTGCAAATAATCTAAATCCAAAATAAGATCTAATCAGTAAACCCTGTCCAATTTCTTATCAAGAAAATTCGGGTAACTCCCTAATTTGGCCAAAATTTTTGAGTCCCAATCGAATTCCTGTTGACCACACTATTAGAAAATGAAAGATCGGAATAGATTGGGCAAAAAAAATCTTGGTTCCAAGGTGCTCAAATTGGACAGGGTTTACTATTTGACGAAATTTTTTTTTTGGCAATATTAAAAGTTTAAATATTTTAATTGTCAAAAAACGAAAAAAAAATATAATTTATACCTTTTAAATTTTAATATCAAAAAAATGGAAATTGAATTGTAAACAAGAATTTTTGAACAGGAGCCAAAATCTTATATAAATATTTCTGGGAATTTGAAGCCATTCATGGATAAATTCATTCATTCATTATTTGCGCAAGTAAATCACGTGCCTCATTCATGGATATAAGTCCAATTAATTCATTCACTCATTTTTGAACATGACGGAACTGCCAATCCTTATTTCGCAAATTTATATAAAATTATTATATCATTTAGAAAACGGAAACAGTTTAGAACTTATTTTTATCTGAAAAAAAATAGAATTTATTACCCTCTGTCTCCATTTCCTTTTGGCCAACTTTTGTCAGTTAAAGTTAGGGATATCCGCCCATAACAGATACAAAAAGTAACTGTTATGGGTGTATCTCTTTCTCTCTCTGACCATAACCTTTTCTCATTCCGGTGTTTAAAACTGTCATATTTTAAATTAAAAAATGTCATATATTGCTGTTGTGACCACTGCCTACTTAATTCACTCTTATTTATTTCACGGATCTCCTAAACAAAATTTGACTAAATTCAATTTATTCAATGCAGAATAAATAAATAAAAAATATTAAAACTGAATTTTTACAAAATTTCGCTTCCCTTTTAATAGGGAAGCGCATAATTCAATTTCATAATTATCCTGCAAAATTTAATTTCTTACATCTAAAAATAGAATATCAAAATTAAAATACAATTTCACAATGATCTTGCCAAATTTAATTCCTATATCTAAAAAATAAAAGAAAAATATTAAAATACATTTTCATAATGATCCTGCAAAATTTAATTAATATTATACATGCGAATACATACTTTCAAAAATTATCAAATATGTCTTGCCACCTCATTCACGACAATATATAAATAAGTTTAGGTTAATTTCGGTTATCATTTATCCGTGTGAACATGTCAACCAATATGATAGGCGGTGTTTTTATTTATATCCTTAATTTTTCTATGGAGGTTCGGTTGACCCTTGATTCGTCTATTTATTTTTAATAATGGTTTGGTTACGTATAAACGCCGTTGTTAATTAGCCATATATATAATAAATATACACCTTTTACAGGTTGGGACTTGGGTCTCTGGCCCAGGTCTGTAATTAGAGTCAGCTTAGCCCGAACAGCCCGTCGAAGAGAGGTTTTTTGGTCTGGCCCATAAAAAATTTTTTGGACAAATTGTCCAACCTACCCCAAAAATATTTCTGTCCCCAGCATCTGTAGACAGATTTTTGGCGGTGATTTATATATTTTTTTAAATAATATTTCTTTTAAATGAAAAAAAAAATAAGGTAGAAAATGGCTGCCCTCCTCATGTTAAAGCTACCTATTACAAGATGCATTCTTTGCAAACCCTCGATTTTGTTAAGGAAATGGTATTAACTAATATTTATTTTTTTATCTTTATCTAAATAATTATTCCTCATATTCCACCAGGAAAACCCGGACATAATTCTGGAACCAACCTTGATATTTTACCGATTTAATTTTGAATTAAAACTTCTTTCTTTTAAACCAATCAAAGGCCTTATTTTTTATTTGTTTATCATCTCTCTTTAAATTTTGAACCAATGTGATAAATATAAAAAAAATTTCGTTCATGAATTTGGAACTTCTAAACATATCAACTAAGAATCCCTTTTTGCAATATATAAATGTTGCATATCTTTTGACAATCATTTTTATAACATATTGAAACACAGACAACACACATATGAGGTTTCCTTTCTACATCGCTAGAAAACTCAAAAGAATTAGGGGTTTGGCTTATATCTTTCTAGAAAAAATTTCTAAAGTAGATTTGAAATTAATATTGACTCGTAATTAAATTGAGTTTTTTTTAAGAAAATGGGGTAGGGGGATCATCAATATTCCCAAATGTTCTCAATTCTGGGAACAAAGTTGTTCCTCCATTTTAACGATTTTTATATTAAGTTACAAGCTTTTGATCACTTTCCTAGCATCTATTAATATTATTTTTAATATTATACTTTTTTAGATTTTTTATATGAGATATGGCGAGATTCTTAATTTTTAGCTGCTTAGAACCTATCCCGCTTATTTATGACTGCAATTATATTAGAAAATTAAGTTTTTTTATTAAATATATGCCCACGGTTTTTTTAACTAGGACATAATGGGGCGACAGCTCGATTAACTGTGTATTTCCTTTGATGGACCGGCGTCTATCAGAATATTGTGCTTCTTTCCAGGGATTCAAACCGGTATCCGGGGTTGTTAACCTGGGCATATTTTTGAGAATTCCATGAAATATTCTCTTGGGATTTACTGAATGAAGAAATATTCCCAAAATTCCATTAAAAATTAGCAAACCTATTTGCAATGTATTGGGTGTGCTTGCGCATGGACTAAATTTATGCCCAAGTTAGCATAATAGAAGTCTTCCCAGTCGTAAAATTTATTCCGCCCTTCTTATAGATATAATTTGACAATTAATTTATATACGGCTCAATTTAGCGATAAAATTTTAAAGAAATACATTTTTGCTTTACATAATTTTAATAGACTTTTCTTTGTGAAAAAGTTGAACCCAAACCCGAACCGATATTCGTTACGGTTTCGATCCCGGTTATTTTTTCCATTTTTTTAAAAAACATCTTTAAACATAGTCGTATCTATATTTCAGTGTATTCGTCGTCTTCTTGCGACACGAAAAAAATATATAAACAAAATTAATAAATCAAACGATACATTAAAAAAGCACAAAAAATGGCTCAAATTCGACAAAATACAGCTGACATTAATGGAGGCCTTGGAGCTCATGAATAAAATCGTGGACCAAAGTGACCCTGATGTAAATAAAATTAAAAATTTGACAAAATATAAAATTGTCATTTTTTTGAGGAGGTAAATAATGTTTAATTGTTTTTATTTATCTTTAAAATATTAAATATCAGATTATTTATTTTTTTTTAGAGGAAAACAAAAACTTTTTTTTGCATTACAAATTTTGATACATTTTAAAATGATGGAAGCCTTCCCGGATGTAAATTTATTTTTCCAGCCAGATCGTGCAACCGGATCTAAATCTTTTATTTAGTTAATCCAGCTGTTCGGATTCTAAAAATGATAACAGGATACAACTTTTTATATAATTATCCGGTCGGATCCGAATTTCAAAAAAATAACCTAATACCAATTTTAATTATCCGGCTAGGTCGGGTACAAAAACCGGCAATTTAAATTGAACCCAAATTTCTCTACCGGATTTGATGATCTCTAATTTTATCCCGGTTTTTTTTCCCCGAATCAAAATTATTTTTCGAGTTTTTTTTTATTATAATTTATGATATTTTGTTTAAAGACATCGTTACCAAATATAATTCATTCGTTTCAAACTGCCGAAAGAATTAGGAAAGAATATCCAGATTTAGGTTGTTTTTCAAATATTTTGATATAAAAAAAAAATAATGTTTTATACCCTACGTCCTAAGCTTTTACCTTTCCTTAGCATCATTCCATTTTTACAAACAAACCTGAGCTTTTAAAAAATTGACTTTAAGACATGGCGCTAACTACTCTGTTAACGGCTGCATTGAAACCAGACTTTATTTAGAAGAGTGGATTCAAAATTTTGGCACTTAAAAGGAGTGCGAGGCAGGGATGGGAATCCAGCTAAATTTTTGGTCGGGTTCGGTTTAAGGTTAAAAAAGATAGTTCGGTTCGGGTTTGGTTCAAGGAAATATTTTTGAACGGGTTCAGTTCGGTTTTTAGAATTTTTGAATTGATTAAAAAAAATATTCTATATTTTAAATCATAATTTTAAAAAAAACCAGACATAAATTCTATTTTATTTATAGGCAAAATATATTTAAAAATACAAAGCATAGTCATGTATATATTTTAAAAAAAATTTATTTAGACGTATTTGAAAATAGTATTGAATGTCAAGTAAATTATTAATATTTGTATTTACAATTATACAAATATCTTATATTTATTTAGACAATGCACTGAACCCGGGTTCAAATGTGAAAATTTTATAAACGGGGTTCGGTCCGGGTTCAAATTTTTTCCCCAAAACCCGGGTTTTCTTCTCCGGGTTCGGTTGGAACCCCTGGACACGGAATTATTTCGTTGCACCTTCAAAAATTGATTCTAAAAATAAGGTACCATCCATCAATGTGTTTTGCTAAATCGCGCCATTTTTTGCCGATTTTGAACGGAACAGAAAAACTGAGTTTTTTAGGCGATAAATATCATGCTTAGCCTTAAGGGATTTAACCCTACAAGAATGGAAATTGATCGACGCCTAATAAATAAAAGTAGCGATTCAAGGCTATTTTCAGCACCCGCGTTTAAAAACTGAACTGATTACACCACTACTTAGAATAAACATTTTTTTTAAATCGCACTCCCGTAAAATCTGGGCAGAGATTAGAATCTAAAGCTGAATTTATAGTTAACGCGTTATACTCAATTGTTGCGTTATTTGACGCTAGCGAAATAACCGCCGATTCTTCATAGCTTTAATAATTATTGAAATATACGTCGCAACATATGTTTTTCAAATGTTATCGTGGCCTTACCATCATATCGCTCCGTGTACCTATTTATTGGCTTGATTTTGTAAATATCGCTGCTTTAAATAACGCGTCGCTATAACATAACTCGTTTATAAATATATTTCGTAATTGTGAATGTGAGTTTAATAGATAGTTTTCTGAATTATTATGGAAATTGCTCGAAATTAATACAAAACTAGTAATGTACAAACGTTCGAAATATTTAAATTGGAATGATATTTAAGCGCAGGTTGATTTTTGACTTATATTATACTTTTTCTATATAATATCCCCATTCTTGTGCCATATAAGCTATTCGGATCTATTTGAAAAAAATTGAATAAAAGAATTTTATTTTAAATAAAATTAGATTGGTTCCATCTCACGGGTCTAATTCATGACCTTGGCAAAATAATGGCATTTTATGGCGAACATCAATGGTGCGTTGTCGGTGACACCTATCCCTTGGGTTGCTCTCCCTCTCCCGACATTGTGTTTGGGCCAAAAAGTTTTTCTTCGAATTCCGATTTTCGCGATCCTCTGTATAAGTTAGTTCTCACTTTCAAATGACATTAATACTAATCTATACTTGACGTGTCACTCATAAAAATGCATTAAAAAAGTATATTGCACATATTGATTTAGACGAAGTGTGAACGGCATTTTGACTAAATGTCACTCAACGACGTCCATTACAGCCAATCAATACGGCTACAAAGGACGTATATGTATATATATATACACTTAATACATGAAACATGACTATTGTTAGTATTAATGTTATTGTTCACTTCAGTAATATTTGTAGGAAGAAATATAATATAGGAATCAAAAGAGATTTATAATAAATGTTTAATTTTAATTGTAATTTTTTTATTTTATATTTTAAGCTCTAAATACGGTATATACAAGCCTCACTGCGGATTAGATAATCTTATTATGTCATGGGGACACGATGGTAAAATAAATATATATTTTTTTTATAACAAGATACCCATATTCTAAGCCCTATCCTATGGAAATTTTTTTAACATCCAATCAATTTGGTTTTTTAAATTTTAAACAAGTTAATTTTATTAACATTTTTATCACCCATTGTAAATATTATAAAAAAGGTCATAATGTATATATATTGGTCATGTATTATTATCCCCCTTGACACTCGTGTTAAGTAATTAATGGAAGGGGAGGCAGGGACTTGTTATGTTTTTTACAAATCTATGCTCATAAGATGAACCTGTTTGATTTATTTATATCTTTGTTTTTATTGAAATAATTTTACAATTAAAATTGTATTCAATATAATATAATTATAAATTCATATATTCTTAACAACTTAAATTTAAAATTAAGTATCACGATTAGCAGCGATTACATTTATTAAATTTTTTTTTTAAATTAAATTTTGTAAATAACGTTAAAAATGGCGTTCACTTTTTCGAAAATAATCATAGACTTTTGTAAAAGTAATCCTTCAAAAATTAAAGTTTTTAAATATCAATTATTTTTTTAGTGGGTGAAAGGTGTTGCAAAAATATGCCATCCAATTTAAATTTATTGTATCTTAAAAATAATTCTATCCGGAATATTTTATTTTATAAAAATTTGACATCTCGCATTTTTGTTCACAGGATCAAAATTTAATTTCTGCCCTAAAATTAGATGTGTTAACAGTTTATATATTAAAATTACCAGAGTTGTTAAAGGATCTAGATACAAGTATCTAGATCCTGTATCTAGATATAAAAATGTGGTATCTGTAACTAGATAGATTTTTGATTAAAATATCTGTATCTAGATATTATTTTAGACGATGTATCTGTATCTAGATCCATTTAAAAAGTATCTTTTAACAACTCTGAAAATTACATTCCCCACTATCATTCGATATCAATTTAGAATGAATTAAACAAATTGGGAAAATTCCCCAAATAATGATGTCATGGGAATACGCAGCTTCTGGGCTTGGATCTGATATTTTTTAAAAAAGAACCCAGATTCATGTCTGTTTGCGGAAGGTTTACCACAGATGATGCCTCATTTGGCCCCAACTTTCATCATAATGAAGAGTAACGTCAAAGTCCCCCACTCTTCCCGCTTCCCTCGAGGATTAGTTTTATTTTTTTTTAAAAACGAACCTCTAGACTAAGTTAAATCTAGGAGTAACAAGTCGTTATCACCCTTTTTAGAATTGGTTAAAAAATAATTTTTGTTGAAATAATTTATACGTTTTTTTTAAAAAAAATAAATAAAATAATCAGAATACATGTATCAATTTCTCAAATATAATCAAAACACTCTACCTCAATTAGCTCTTAATATCGTGAGGTATATTTGAAATAATTTAAATTCGAAACAATTATTATTTTTTTGTGTCGAATTAATAAAGGTTTCATTCCTTCTACCCGTGGCACAACGCCAGCCAGTATTACCACCTGTGCAATGAAAGCCCGGATTTGGACATAACTCTTCCCTTCGTCCAAACTTTCAATCGATTTGACTTGTACACCAAATCCGATGACCCCCGTGATATACCCGACGTGGAAAGTCTCAGACCTTATTACAATAATATCATCTCCAAATACTTCGGCGACTCTAATAGGAAATTATTTTTTTGATTATGAATATCCCTTCCATAAGAAATTTCGAAATAAAAAAAAATTATTTAATAAAAAATTATTTATTAAAAATTAAAATAATATATTCACAAATTACCCAGAGATGTTATCCTTATAAAAAATATTTTATATATGTGTTTTTTAACGCCCACTCAATGCAAAAATATTCGATATTATTTATTCATATTAAGTGTATATTTTAAAAAAATATTTTTAATGAAAAATTGCACATAAAATCTCAATGCAAAATAAAAACAATTAATATTTTATATATATATATAATATTTATTTTACTTTTAAAATCAACCGTCAAATAATAAGTATTAATTGCTCATACTTTATTTACACATTCATTTTATTTTTTTTATAGGGATGTAATATAATTCAATTTTATCATAATCAATCGATATTATCTAACATATTTTATTTACACAAAAATTGTATGAATATTGAAATGCGAATAAATAAATTTTTTTAAAAATGGCGCCATTATTCCCATGTTTAAATTCGGTTTCGCCCCAATATTTCACTCTTATTGACGTATTCCATTAATTTAGTTTCCAATGTAGAGTAGAGCTGTATAACGTTATTAGAAAAATATACAAATATTTAACATGTATAAATTAGCTGAAATATCGATAACGCATTTGAACGTTCCATTAAGGGACATGCGGAGGTATATTATATTTATAGACCTAATTAGGGTTTAAAAACACGGATGAGATCAAGTTTCGGGTTTTATCCGGTTTCCCGGTTCTAACAAATACTTTGTATTGTAAAAAGGACTAAAACTTTTTCGTAATAATCGTAGGTGTCCAGCCGCGATAAATCGTTGTCATTGATGACATTATCGAGACGAGTCTTGAGCAAGTGCAGCAGGAATTGGATGGGTTGCAAAGAGACATGTGCTGGGCAAAACGAATCCACCTATAAAATAAAATATTTTCTTTAAAAAAAACTATCTGTTACTATCATTATATCGTGGCCTGAGAATTAAAATTATTTCATCTCCACTTTTTTTGATTTTAAAGGAGAGTATTAAAAATTTTTTAAATATAACCTTCTTGCTGTCAGTCTTTGGTTCGTTCAGTACTCCTAGTTTTGATCTATCGTCAATAAAGCGGTTTGATAGGATTCATCGAACTTCTGATATATCAAGAAATGCCATAACAATGTAAACTTGACACCAAAAAAACATTTTTGTAATCATTTAAACACAGATATAAAAATTAATTTCTCACTTTGCAAGCATTGTAGCGTTATTGCTTGGTCTAAAATAAACAATAGGGATCTATATTCCATGTATACATTCACGGAACTGCCTTACCCCGAAATTATAAAAAAAAATGACCGCCTCAGAATTTTCAAACTTTTGTCACTTAAGCCTCGAGATCCCTAAATAAAAATATCACAAAATTATAGTTGAGAGAAATGGCGGAAAAAAAGGGAACAAGTTTACTTTGTAACTTTGAATCAACCATATTGGTAAGGGTACGTTCATGGATACTTCCGCTCTACCAAAGCTTTTCGAAACTTTGAAAAAGGTGGATGCAGCATCGGAGTCAGAAAAAAAAAGGGAACGATATTTGAGACTAACCTTCTAAGCCTCTTCATTCATTCATTTTTTATATCTTTACTACCAAAAATGATAAATTTTGATTTACTCTTAATGTTTGGCGGGCATCAAAGAACGCGATTCTTCCGCCATGGAATCCGTTAACCACTTCCATTGAATTCCGTCCCAATAAACTTCTTCATTCAAAATATTGATATATTATTATAAATTTAATCGGACAGGAACGAGAAACTGAAGAAAACTTATCTGGAATTACGTTACAGTGCTAAAAAAAATGTCGTTACTAACAGAGTAAATTTTTTTTTTGAGGAAAAGGAACATTCGTTACTTTTTGAGTAACGACTAACGTTACTTTAATTTTTTTTTATTTTATCCTTTATTAATATATTTTTTAAAATTTTATAAATAATTTAAGCCTAGTTTTTAATTTCAGATCAACCACCAAAGGTTCTTCACTTTTTATTTATTACATTTTTTTTGTTATTGGATTTCAATCAATCAGATTGCTAAATCTAATTAATACTGAATCAATCAAGTTATGTTAATTTATATTTTCTCTAACATCATTTAGTATTTCTTCTAATGAAGATGATTTAACTCTGCTTTGGGCCCCAGCATGAAGCATTTTTTATATCAACGAAGAATTCAAGTCTACACTTTGTAAGTAGAGATTGTGGCCCTAATTCTAATATTCCAACCTCGATGTCCCATAGCTCAAATCTAAATAATATGAAGGTAAAAATAGGAATTCAGATTAAATTTTGACAAATATTTTATTTTTTTTTAAATTGATGAAGATTCTTGAGAAGATGATCAGATCATTCTTTAAATATTTTTAATTTTTATTATTAAGTATAATACAACCCTCCCATACTCTGCGTCAGTTGAACGTGTGGTGTTAAATCATAGAAAATTTTGAAAATCAATGGTTAATTTGATTTTAAAAGGGAACTTATCTTGTAATATATTAATTTTTATATAATTTTATTATCTATTATCTATGGGGGGGAATATATAATATCTAGCATTTTTTAAGTAACTAACGCGGTTCATATTTTTTCGAATGGAGAGTAACGCGTCACTTTTTTCGCGAGTATTTTTTTTTGAAGTAACGTTTACAGCACTGTCAGTCAAATTTGATTAGCATTTATTTTATTATATATCATAAGCTGTAGGCAAGTAAAAACCATTAAAATTCGTTATTTTAACCAACCATTGCTAGCAAAAAAAATATATTCTTTTTAAGACACTTTTTACCATACCTGACTTTAACGAGGGATCCCTCATTCATTTCCAAAATGCTACACATCTTAGCCAGGTTTTCGAAGAACGTTTCCGAAAGTGTGTAAATGATTTCGTTGAGGGTCGGTTTGGTCTGGATCAGGTTGGATATCAAGGCGAAAGCTGAATGATCCGAAAACGCAAAGAGAATCGCAAACTCCGTTTGTCATAACGGTCACCGATGTTGCCCCATTTAACAGCGGGAAACCGATAATTTAATCCGTGAATAGCTCGATAGTTTGCGAGGCATTGTTGCGGTTCGGATTGACAATTTCCAATTTTAAGAGCGAGCTGACCAACAAGTGGAACATCGTGATGTCGCGTTAATCCAGCGGTTTAGTTGCGGAAGGTGTGGCTAATTATCGGAAATTGAAAGTAAAATAAATATTTTAAAAAAAAAACACACCCTTGGATTGGGATTAGAGGTGTGCGCGGGCCTAATTTTTTATTCGCGACCCACCGGCTCACGGTTATAAAAAAAATTCATGCCCATTCACGCTTACCATTATAAAATTTTCGACCCGACCTGCCAGCTCACGACAATCAATATTTTGATTCACGCCCGTCACGCCCGAAAATTCACGGTGTTTTTAAATTTTTTAAAAAACTATAGCTATAATTTTACACTTTTTTTTTGAATTCATTCTATTATTTCTCTAATTTCATAATCCATATTAATTACAAAAAATAAATATAATCTACAAATCGAAATTTATTCAGAAAAAAAAGAATGTCCATCTTTTTTTATTTCAATTGTGTACGCCTTTCCTCTAATAAGAGATTGGCTACAGAAAATAACTTTTCACTAGAAGCCGAACTTGCAGCTGACAAAATTTTACTCGATAATTTTCTCAGAAAAGGAAATGAATATTCCTGCTTCCAAAACTTCAAAATATTGTCGTTATTTATCTTATATGAATCTATTATGTTAAGTTCCAGAGCTCATCGGAGATGTTGAATATTTATTTTTTTTCTCGTTTGTGTTTGGAAATAGCCTAAAATTTTTTATAAATCTAAACGATAAAATTTTTAATTATTTTTTTCTTACTTATGAATTGCTAAAAATAAACATTTTCCTCTGTAAAAATTAAAACACAAAATATTTTTCAATTCTTCTTTAGCCAATCATATATAGCATAATTATTTATATTAAGTTCAAATTTCCAGTCTTAAAAAATTAGTGGATTAAGTTATAATCTGTATTCAAAGTAATGAGGTCTTCCCTACTTATGTTAAGATATAATTTTGTTAAAAAAAATGTTATGAAAAATGAACGTAGTTATCTAGATATTTCAAAAAATAAAATTTGAGTTCGATTATAATTACATATGCTTAAAACCAAAATTTAGATTCAACACTGATTTTTATTTTATATTATTTATAATATTGTCATAGTTTTATTGGTATATTCTACTTAATCATCCAATAATATTTATATTCCAGACGGATAAAAAATACCAAATTAAATAGTTATAAATTAGTATTTAGATCTCCTTTTCTTCTAAATCTTATTGGATAAAAATTAATTGGTTAAATTTTTAAAAAATAGAAATAATTCTTAAATATTTATAATTCGTGAATAATAACCACAATAATTAAAATATACTATTTATTATAGCATCATCGATTGATCACATCTCTATCAAGGACAATTTGCTAACGCAAAAGCTTTGAATGCTACATTCTTGCTTTCCTGAAATTAATTAATAATTATTTATAAGCAATTTTAAATGTTTATACATTTTATTGATACCGATATTTTTCAATTATAATTTTGTATTTATTTGGTTTAAGTTCAGAATACGGTTCCAAACTTTTGTTATCATTTCCTGTTTCAAACTATGATAGCCTTTCCGGTTAAAATATGTATAATATTCCTTGATATTAAAAACTTTTTTTTACCACACGAGAAAATCTTTATTATTTTTATAGTTTGATATTTAATTTATCTAAGCCATAAAATTAATCTTTTGCACATATTTGTGCTATTTTATCTATATTTTTAAAACAAAAGATTCTTGACTTAACATCAGTTAAAACATTTTATATGAATCCAAAACTAAAAATCAATCAGAAAGAGGGTAAGATACTCAACTCTCCAACAAACCGAAAATCTGGTTTAAATGTGAGTAATGTCCATTAAAGATGGTATGGGAATTGCTAAGCCGTAAAATTTCCTTATAAGATTATAGATTACTACTAGAAAACAAGGTATTTTATAAAAATTATTCTTTTTTTCGTAAATCGATATTTTTGATTTAATATAATTAAAATTTTAAAAAATTCCCTTTATTTTGTTATTAAATGCTGTACATTTGTCAAGAATAAATAATTATTGCTATCTGATTAAGGGTGAGGGAATTTATAATATTAAAAAAATATATATTATATCTCTATTTTAAAATATAGTAATTTATGGTTTTGCTTTACTATATAATTTATATGCAATTCAGGGTATAAACAAACATTTATGATGAAAATAAGAAAGAAAGAAAGAAAGAAAGAAAGAAAGAAAGAAAGAAAGAAAGAAAGAAAG